AGTTTCATTGCAAATCATAAGTCACAAGGAGTGGATGCATTTGCACCAACCATTGAGAACAATTTTGAGCCATGTCACCAATTGTTTCCAGCCATTGGTTTTTATCGTCCCGAGGACCCCAACCAGTCTACACCTTCCTACTTGGCTGAGACTAACTGTTGTGGATTTCATTGACTGGTGCCATGTTTTCGTTTGACTGCTGCTAGCTCTTTTCCAGCCTGGCCCTATATCAGCTAACATTGCCCGTCAGTCGAGGAAGGCGATGACTAGGCATAGGTAACACATATCCTGACCATGTAGCTTCACAGCCTCGTCGATTGATTTCCCCTCCTTATCTAGCACTCGACGCCTAACCTCGATATTGCTCACCTTATTATACCACTTCACTGTGGCGATAGAAGGCAGGCAACTATGATCAAAGACAGCTAATCTTTTCATGTCTTCCGCTCTCAATGGCCAGCTCACAGCCATAAAGGAGGACGGAGCGGACTGATGAGCAGTACACACGCCCTTTGGTCGATAGTCGGATATCACATCTACGCCAGAGACGGCGTAAACTGGCATATGTGAAACTAGCCCTCTGTATTCGTGCTGAGATTTCGTCAGAGATCAACCCGTTGGCATTGGCTGATGGTACTTCCCAAATAAGTGAAGCGGTCAACGTGCTCTACCACTTCACTTCCTATTTCTAATCTAGGAGTCGGTGTAGTCCAATCCTGCAACATCATCTTACATTTTACAGGGGCGTTGCATAATACAGTTGCATAATATCTAAACTTTTTTTTCTTCTTTAATTCCCTATCTAAACAGTAGCTTAAAATCCATCTTTTTGCTAGATAACATTTCTGTTCATTGTTGTTGTAACTATACAAATTCACTTCTCCTAGAATATGATCAAAAACTCCTCAATACTGAATATATATATATATATATATATATATGCATACATTGCCTTGAATTATGTCATATTCTGTCATAAGCTAAATAAAAAAAATTTATCTTTCTTCTATAAAAAAAAAATGAAATCACAGAATAAATTTTATAGAGTTTTATCATCTGATAGGTTTTTGAAAACAAAAAAAGAAAGATGAATACTACACTGACAGAATGATAGACTGTGGGAATTTAACCATATGCTGAGGTATGATTATATTTTGAGTTGGCTAGTCAAACTATGGCTTCTTCAGGTCATGAGCACGTATATATATTTCTCTAGGAGATATCATATTTCACTGATACGCGCCACATACTGATATACACTTATATATTATATGAAAATATAATCTCCTGATTGATAAGATTATCTTATTGGGTATATCAATGAATTTCTCCACTGCATATGCTGTGTTTCCCATAGTCATATAAATATATCACAAGGTATGCCTCTATGTACATTATGTCAGTCAGTATGAAACATAATCATCATATTACACAATATTATAACTAAGTAACGTCATATCCTTGACATATTTACTTACAAGGGGAATAGTATATGTGATGTACGTTGTACGTTGTATAAAAACCCCCAGAAGGGTTAGTAGACAAATTTTGTTTTGTCTTATTGTATATCTTTTGTTTTTTTCTTCTTCTGATATGGAAGACATATCTGACATATGAGACAATATTAGGTTTGTTTTCATTCATGGCGTTTCACGTGTTTATCAGTGAACTAAAGTAAAGAACTATTCCTACTGCTAGTAGCAGTACCAGTAAGAATATTGATATTCTCAGAATTTTGGCGTTTTTTAACATTCTTTGTGGGAGTTAGAACAACAATGATACACCAATCCTATAATCTAAATATCAGTCACCAGCTCATTGAAGGCTACTGCACAGATGTCCTAAAGCTGTACTAATATTTTATGACCAGTGGGGTCCACTGTGTCAAGATGAAGTCGATACTCATTGAAGGCATTCAATGAGGGTAGGGTTACATTACGCATTATTATTATTATGTTTCCTTTAATTCCTAGAGGAACATAGGGCTTCAGCCATGCGTCTCCATTGCGTTCGGTTCTCTGCTAGAGTCTTCACCTGGCTCCATGTCTACCCACACGCTTCCATCTCCTCTTCACATGACCTCCTCCAAGTCACCCTTGCACTGACGACCAAATCTTCGCTTCCCTTTCGGGTTCCACTCGAGCGATGGCTTGTCTAGTTATGTCACTTGATGGTTTCCTCAGAGTATGGCCAGCCAATCCATCTCCATTTCTTCCTGCCTATTTGTTTCACAATCGGTTCCTGGTTGCTTCGTTCCCAGAGATCCCTGTTGCTGATCTTTTCTCGCCAGCCATCTGATCTTGAGTATTGAGCGAAGACAACTGTTAATGAAGGTCTGTAGTTTGTTTGAGATGCTCTTTATGACACGCAGTGCAAGTCTCTGATCCGTATAGTGAGTAGCACTGACTTCACATTGAAGTTGAAGATGTGGATCTTATTTTCGATGCTGAGTCCTGTTGACCTCCTGCACACAGACTTGAGAGTAGTGAAAGCTCGTCTTGCTTTTCCAATTCTTGCTTTGATATCCTCGTCAGTTCCGCTTGTAGTTGAAGCAACGCTTCCCAAGTAGGTAAAGGAGGTTGTTTCTTTCAGGTTCCTCCCATTTATGCTGATTGTTGTCTGTTGTTGTTGCTGTTGGTGTTGTCCAGGAATCTTCATCACCTCTGTCTTCTCTATGTTCACCTGAAGTCCTATATTTGGACATTACGAATAGACAAAAGTTATAATCCACAGGTCACTGAAATCCTACACAAGTGACTGAGAGATTAACGAAATCGCCTCGTAACCTTAAGGTCCCAGGTTCGATCCCTGATGAGTTTTGGTGGGTGCGCATTGCTGAAGTGTCCCAAGGTAGGATAAAACAGTTTTCCAGTGCTCTATAATAGATGCTGGTTGAAATTAAATTAATTCAAATCCCGTAATGTAGATAGCATCGACATTTAAACTAGTCATCATTGATATGAGTAGAACAAGACGAAATAATTTGTTTACTTCAGGCATAAATCTTCTGCATCATCGTATAAAGTTAAGTGAGTAATCGATCAAATTGTTTACAATTTTACTGTATACAGAAGACTAGCTTTCGAAGTGGTCATTAGGTGGTCATTACTTCTACACTTATACATGCTGATTATTTTTCAATGACTGCATACATATATGTAAAGGAAGCAATTATGGTTTGAGTACAGATAAACACAGAGACATAAGTATACTTATCGGCCTCCTTTTTCCTGCTCCTCCTCCCCTCCTCTACTCAACTGTCATGAGTACATACATACACATGGATAAATAATTTCTCAGGTGTATAATCTAGGCCTAATTGAAGTGCCTCTTTAGGAATCTTTTCAGACCTGTACAATACATGTACAGGTCAGATGATATAAATACTTGTATAAGAAGAGAACAAGAGGTAGCACATGTATGTAATTACAGCAGACTTAGAACAACACTCAGCCATTCTCTTCTTTGTTAACCCTGTCATTCTTTTTTTGTTCGTTTGTTTTTTACTTTTTCACTGTCTAATTTGAAATGCAGACACATATTCTAAGTGGTGCTAACATGTAGGAATGTTCCACTTTAGTATTATTATTATTATTGTTAAGAGTATTTTGAATAATAGATTACAACAGTCACTGGAGTAGAAACACAACTTCCACACAGGCAGTCAAACATACTTATGGACAAGATATTAAATTTCTCACGCTATTTAATTCATTTAATGAACTGAAATCCAAAATAATAATAATAATAATTAGAAGAGAAATCTTAACAATCTTAACTACTCATTGTGTCTGAGTTAATGAGAACTAATAGGTTTAATAATATAATATTTATATATTAGTATACATATGCAGGTAAGTGGGGAAAATCAAATTTCTCTATGCAAAAATTTTAATTAATGTAGATTTTTGTATAACTTATTTTTAAATTATAATTGCTACAGTTATTTGTATTATTATTATTATTATTATTATAATAAGAGTATTCCTATTCACTGTCCCACCTAATAATAATAACAGTAATGATAATAATCAATTATTTATGTTTATATTAATGCGATAACTACTGATAAAAATATTAGTAGTAATGATGATTAATGATTGTTAGTTAGAAATGATGTCAATCATACTTTCAATTACTTTTTTAAAATTAAAATATAACTTATTTTCACTAGTATTTAATTTTGTGTGAGTAATATATTGGAATTAGTAGGTAGGATAGAATAATTTATTATTCCCTGGGGTTCCAAGTAGGAAACAAACGTCTCCATCTCACTGTGTTTTAGTTGGTTCCCCCTAGTTGACCATAAGCTTTCATTACTTCTTCATATGATCTGCTCAGTGTCACCCTCGTACCAAAACCCAGTTCTTTGTTTCCCATTGTGTTTCCACTTGACAGCATGACGCGTGATATCAACCGAAGGTTTCCTCAGTGTGCGTCCAACTCATCTCTTCCATTCCCTTTGGTATATTTATTCGCCCAGCTGGTCTTCATTACGGAGCGAAGCTAGTTGTTGATAAAAGTTTGCCATAACCTGTTGGAGATGCTTTCAGTGAAGTTTTTGAACCATATAGAAGAAGAAATGACTTGTCACTAGTGTTGGAAACTAGAATCTTGTTCTTCATGCTGATTTCAGATTAACGAAGGTCTGTTTTACTTTTCCGATCTTTCCTTTCATATCTTCATCCGTACCTCCTGTAGTCGAAACGACGCTGCCTAGATAAGTGGAAGTGATGACCTAATTTAAATTTCTCCCGTTGATGCTGATTGATGTTGTTGTTGTTGTTGTAGTCAGTTAGGTATCTCCACCGCTTATGTCTTCTTTCCGCTCAGTTGAATTCGTGTCTTCTCTACTTCTCATGCCAACTTGATGGTTTTCGCCAGTGCATCTTCGAGTTTGTGTGACATTAAACATCAAGATCATTGAAATGGATATTAATCTTATTATTATCATTAGTAGTAGTATAATTATTAGGTAAATTTTATCATAATACGCTTACCTCGTACGTGAACTTCAAATGTGACTTCACGTTTACCAAAACCAGTCACTCCTAAACATGTATAATTGCCTGAATCAGAAACTTGTAATGGTTCAGTGACTTCCAGTATTCGACGCTGTTGACTAAATCGATAATGACTATTTGTATCCAGTGAATAGTCATGTAAATCTCTCACCTTCCAATTATACATAACACCAGAATTATATTCAGGTTGATTTGAATTAGAATTCTCGTTTGAAGAGACTAGACCACCAGAGGATGTGATATGAATTGGACATTCAAGACGTAGTTTATCACCAACTTGTAAACGAATTTGATTATTATGATTGACAACCATTGGCACTTTGGTATCTGTGTTTAGTTGAACAGAGGAATAAAGTGAAAAAAAATTATAATTTTTTCTGGTGTAATTAATTCATGTTATTCAAAATAAGCTTTTTAAATAATAACGTATTCGAACAACGAACTCCCACACTTAACACTTAATAAATAAATATACATACATTATTGCTACTTATCTAGTAGATTTAAGTAGTATACCGAGTAACCTGTCTGTGGAATCAGTTAACATTTGCATAGGTATGAAAAAAGTCACTGAGGAAGAAAATACCAGGAAGAACCTAATACGCAACAAACAACGCCAACAACAATGCAATGTCCAATGTATTTTATTTCAAAAATTATTAGTTCTACCCTTGCAAGCCTTGTTGTCTTCAGTACTAGTAACCCACATGGAACTGCATTTCTCAGGTAAATTATTTCAGACATTCAGATTATAAAAGTGTCTTATTGTGGTGATAGTATTGAGTAAATCTCTAGCGAGTCAGCTATCATTAAGCTCGATGAAAAGAATATTTAAAAGCTTTGAGGGGAACCCGTTTCCCTCCCGAGATTTGAATACGCCTAACTATTTCTTTTTTAATCTTTTGAGTTCCAAGTAGAACACAGGGTTTCAAGCTTTAACCTGTAAAGTTTTAAGAGCTCTCGTGCTGTTTTTAAGGTTAACCTTCTTTTCCTGGCTAACTACCGACTAGGCATCGTATAGGAGTCACACAGCCACAACTGCGGTGTGAAGGCTAGTGATACTACCCGGCTGCTGGAACTCTGGCAGATGGAGCAGAGTTAGAACCCATGGTCCTTTGATTGGAAATCGAGCACCTAAACTACTGAGACACAGCCCAGTTCATTAAAAGTGTATCAGCCCAAGACCGTCTTAGATAGTCTCAGCATTAATCATGAATTCTGTTTATATTTTTTACGGTCAGAGGAATTGTTAACAGCTGAGAATATATACAACAAGAATGACCCAACATCATTTTTAAATATCTAGAAAATTTAACTACTTATATGACAAATGTGTAAGAAGAATTAATTCAATTAGAACTAAGTTCCAGTGTGATGTGGTTATATTCGATATAATTATTAGAAATGAATTGTTTTCAAAACGCCACTGTTTCACTGTGTGATCAGTGTATAATAAACAAACTAATATAGGAGTTGCCTGGTGGATGATGACTGGCAGTGGAATCCAGGACAACATGCATTTCGTCCCGTTTGGAACTCGTCAGCCAACTGGATGTAACTGCATTCCGCAGTGAGTGATGATGTTCCCCGCACTGAGGCTCGAACCCAGTGCCCCTAGTTTTAAACGCCAAAGCGTTATCCACTAGACCACTTGGGTCACGAGAGCCACCTCTTGTGCAACGGGTCATATTAACTATTTAATTCATTTTAGATTTTCCCGTCGATTGATTGGACCGAAGTGTTCGGTCTCAGGTTGACTTGTCGGCTTCTCGTGCAGATGCTTCGATGATGTCTGGGCATGTAATTAGAAGTCACTTGGTGGAAATTGAATCAAAACTAATAGAGAGTTTAGATGTATATTTTCACGCTTAGTTTTGATTTCTCTATTAGCAATGAAATATTGTTTCTGAATTAGAGACAAAAGTATTCATAGAAAATGTGACATGACTCCTTCTCTTATATTGTCTATTCTTATTGTCAAAAATATTCTAAACTGTCCACTCATCATTTAAGCTTATCAAAACATGAGGACAACACTAATGCTGCTTACACATTACTTCATTCTAATCTGATGTTACATGAATAACTTTAAACTCATATGACCAGGTGTTGTACACATTCAATTGTGTAAATCTTACACATAGATTACAACAATTAGCTTATCTATTATTACTATTATTATGATGATGATGATTATTTAAAAAGAAATTTCCCGCTGGTTTTATTCATTTATTCAATGTCCAATTGTTTAGATATATATATAGATAGATGGACGTATAGTGAAGAGAAAAATAAACTTGTAACAGGTGTACACCTTTATTATTATTAATAAATGAAATGTATTCATCAAAGTGGTTATTGACTATTATTTATCCAGTCATCTAGATATACTGGTTTCAATGTGGATTTCTTTGCGTGTATGCATAAAAAAGCAGAAAAAATAATCAAAGAATCTTTAATTTGAATTGAAATAAATAAAAAGAAAATTTGCTTGAGGTATCCTGGTGAGAGCTTCATCTTTGAAATCGTATGAAGTGATGATTAACATTGTTAACACTAGTGATCATTGTAAAACTTGTCACAGTGCACAGTTGTTATTATTATTATTGTTTCTACTGTTACTCCCTACCCTCTACTTATTCATCGGATGGGGTCACTTTGTAAAAAGTATAATAATAAAGATAAAAATAATAGTAAAAAGGTGTAAATTAATGGTTTTTGAAAGACCCTTATCTCAACAGGAGGCTTAAAATAACTAACTAATCAATGAATAACAAAGATATTCAAGAAATTTGTAAGATTTAGTCCATTATTACTAAAAAAAACCTACTTTTATCTCATAGAATAGAATGTAATAGGGTGCATATTACTGAGCTAATTACGTGTTAATTATTAATTGGCTAAAACTGGTATTATCTGTATAAATCATCCATTAGTGTGTGTATATGTGATGTTTTAAAAGAAGTTTAATTGAAGCATTTAAGAGTTATCTTTAAATAAGGCAGAGGACAGTCTGAAAAGTATGGCTTACATCAACATATGTCATGATAATTGTATATACTGTAATTATGTAAGAAACGATGGAATATATATTAGATATAATGACAAAGGTTTCAAAGGATCGCTATTTATAATCTTAGCTCATTTTTTCTTTTTCTTAAAACTATTTATTAGTTACGTCATATTTAATTGAAGTGAATGTATGAAACCATATCATGTTCTGGAAAAATTAATTTCTAGTTAATGGTTTCAAATTAGGCCTCATTTAAAAACCATTTAAGGTTTTTACAAGTTTGACCACTGATTGATATCAGTTAGAGAACCATTGAAAACCAGCTGGGAGTACTGGACAGCTGTTTCATCCTAGTTTGGGAATCATCAGCAGTACCCACCCACACACCGGGGTTCGAACCCAGGACCTTCCGGTTACAAGGCAAGCTCGTGTACCATTCAGCATGAATAACCATTTAGGTTTGTTTGAAATATGCAATTTGTTAATATTATTCATTGTTGGAAACATTGTTTGAAGAAATGGTGTGTACGTCATTTGAAGTTGGCATTGGTGATTAAGTTGTAGACTGTTTACCAGCCACATGCGGAGATTCGAGTTCGCTTTCCGGTCGACGTAGTCGAACTCCTAAACCTCATTTAATTTACTAGCCGACAGTAAGCTCAAGAGAGAGGGAAGGTTGGGCTAGCAAACTCATCCTGATAAAACAGAACACTATCATTGTGAATACAATTAAATTCAATGTTTGCAACTCCTATTCGTTGCTTTCATGGATTGACTACTCCCTACCTACCGTATTCTCCTTCAACTGTTACAAGCACTAGGCTTGTTGTAGAGATGGAGTGATAACATGTCAACATCTATATTACAGTTATCTCATAACTAGTTACAATTTTCAGTGTTATGTGTGTTCATATATCTCTATGTATTTATTTGGAATTGAAGATTTTTTTCTACAGACTGAAAGTAAAACTGAATGAAATGAAAAAGCTTCACTGCTAAATATTTCTTCCTCTTTTTTCAACTCAAAAAGGTAATAATATTGTTTAAATGTTTTTGAGGTTTTCCACTTTTGACATGTTTGACAAGTGACAAAGAAACAGACAGTTGATAATCACCTAATTCATTAACTGAATCAAACTAAACTAACCAACTAACTAACTAAATTTAATAAATAGATGAATACTCTGTAAACTTACCACTATAACTAGTTATCTATCTAAAATCAGACATTATTTATAAAGGTGAATATTAGAACACTTAAAAAAGAAGAAGAGAAATTAGAATCCTATTAGTGATATGATTCTTCGAGTTGTAATATACAGAAGAGTTTTAGTGTAATCAACAGATGTTTGCTACAGTTTGTAGTTTATTACACTGAGATCTATTAGCCAAACGTGTAATACAAAAGTTCAGCAACATCAGGGGTACTGTAGTGCTTCCTAATTATTTTGGGAAACGGAATTCAAAATTCAGTAAACACGATACTCCTTCATCAGTGGGTTATTTTTACAAAGTGGGGTATTATACGGAAGATGTATTTCCTCATAGTTTCAGATATAATTTGATGGTGAGTACCCATCTGCATGTCATCTGACAACCTGCGTCATATATATATATATATATGTAATGGCAGAATCGAACTACTGGTTACTTTTTTTATCTCAGTGCGCATAAAAGTAAATTATTTATTACATGTTCTCTCAGAAGTGCCCTCTACTGATAAATGATCTGAACAGTGTGACATTAAGTGTATTAATTGAAGTCTCGCCATCAATATTTTAAAAGACACATCTTTTACAGCGGATATTCGATAAGTATTCACAATGCTTTGGTTGATTTCAAAAACTTCACTATCCTTACACTAGATGTACATAGTCTAGAAATTTATTAAATTTATCAAAATAGGCTTTTTGAAGCTTTTACTCATCAAGAAGTAAAACGTGTCATATTTTGGAGATTTTAGGGATTCTGAATAACTTCAACGTAGACTCCGTCATGAACCGAAGTGTCTGTTAGGAATCGTTAAAATCCACGGAGCATTTGGCATCTATGTGTTTCTACTTTGAGACTGTTCGACAGAAGTTAGAATTCACAGGCCTGTAGCTGAATAGCTAACGGGCTCACTTTGTGACCTGAAGGTCCTGACTTCGGTAAACCCTACTGATAATTTCCAGACTAGGACAAAGCAAATGTCAAGTGTTCCACGGTTTTTGAAGCTCACCTCTTTGAATGGTATAGATTTACGATGTAGTCCACTATGAAATGAACTATTTGTATGGTATATACCGAAGGAATTTCTGTCAGAGATAACATT